TGTTCTCGTTCTGCTTCTTAAAAGAGCACAGCACCTCTGCTCTCTCTTTGCCCCCTGACAAGCACGCGGATATGTGAAGACACTCTCGTCGCGTTCTACTTTGACTGTTTAAGCCCTTCAGCCTCCTCCCTGTCCTGGGCATCTGCTTTAACTCCGGGTTCTCACTGTGGTCTCCCAAGCTGGATACAGCCAATCGGCTGGTGGTCTGTGCAAAAGGAATCCTGACTTCCCGTGATCTGGTCACTCAGCCAAACTCATTTCTTCCTTCTCCTCCCTTCCTCTCCAGCACCCTCTCCCCCAGATAGACGCTAAAGGTGGATTTAGGAGTCTCTTTGGAAAGGCAGCTGACCTACTCAGAGATCTTGAATCTGTATTAAGGGGGAACAGGTCCAGGGAAAGAAGCCCTTCCTATGGGATCTGGAATGGAGTGGAAGACTAAGGTGAACATAGGAGGTCACTAAGGATCCAGGAGGAGAAAGATTCCCAAGTTATTTAAATACCAGCCAAGCTGAGGGTACTTCACAAGATCAAAAGAAAAACTCGGCAGCTCTGTAAATATGGAGATCTTTATGCATCCAGATGGTGCAGGGTGGTGAATTGAGCCTCAACCCTAGAATATTTGCAAGTTTTATATCATGCTCCCCAAATTGTTTAACACTCTTTATGGAGGGGGTGGGTCTAGATCCTCTCCCCTGGAATATGGGCTCTGTGATTGCTTAATAGAATATGGTGGACTGATGCTGTGCCAGTTTCTGAACGCTGAATTAAACTAGCAGTTTCCAACGTCCTGTTTCTTGACCTGCTCACTCTTGGAGCCCAGCCCCAAGCAGGCACATGGAAAGGCAATGTTTGGGGGTCCAGCTAGCAGCCCTGGCTGAAGTCCCAGCCTGTGTCCAGTATCAACCACCAGACGTGCTTCAGATATGAACCAGATGATTGTAACGCCCCAGGCCTCATCTTTTCTGTGCCTTTTCCAGATTCCTGACCCATAGAATCTATGAGCACTATAAAATGTTTACACTTAATTTGGGGTGGTTTGTTACATAGCACTAGTAATTAAAAGAGAACCTTAGAGTCCTAAGACTCCAAAAGTTTGGGCATGTCTGTCAGTTAAAAGAATTATATAAACATTTACCAGTTTTTTTTAAAGATTTTACTTGACAATGAGAGAACGTGCACACGAGTGAGCACAAACAAGGGGAGATGCAGAGGGAGAGGGAGAAACAGGTTCCCCAGTGAGCAGGGAGCCCGATGTGGGGTTCGATCCCAGGACCTTGAGATCATGACCTGAGCCGAAGGCAGACGCTTAACTGAGCCATCCAGGCGCCCTTATTTATTATACACATTAAAAATGTAATGGGTGGGGTGCTTGGGTAGCTCAGTCAGTTAAGCATCGACTCTTTATTTCAGCTCAGGTCATGAGCTCAGGGTTGTGAGATCGAGCCCTGAGTTGGACTCCATGCTGAGCGTGGAACCTGCTTAAGGTTCTCCCTCTCCCTCTGCCCTTCCGTCCACCCACCCCCCTGCATGTGCTCACTCTCTTGCTCTCTCTCTTGCTCTTTCAAAAAACAAAACAAAAAACCAACCCAAAAGTAATGGGTGAGTTAATGAAATAAATGTTTTGAAATATTTTATTAATAGTACAAAATACCTTTTTGCTCTAAAAAAATAGCAAAGTGAGAAACATTTTTTAAATCATAGTCTAATGTTTTCTGAGGTTCTTGTTGAAAGTTCAGTTTATTTGGGTAATTATTTTTTATGGTCTACATAACAGAGGAGTACCTCTCAAAACCTTGTAAATCCAAATGGAATAGGTGCTTCTTTGGCTGCATTTACTGGTTTTTGTTTTTGTTTTTTAATAGATGAGCCAAAACCCCCTAAATTTTTTCACTTGGAAGACTTAAACAGGTCAGAAAATGATTTCCAGTACAGTGACCGTGTGTTTAGAGGGCATATGCATGGTTAGGACTACAAAACCCACTGCATCTTCGAGCATGTAGACTGCAGGCCAGCAGCAGCTTTGGGTTTGTGTCTTACTTTAGGACGCTGATCTGATTGGAGGTGAACACTGGGATCCCAATGAGAGCACCAGTGTCACTTAGTGGTAATAAAAGTTACCTTCATTGTATTCTTATCTTTAAAAATGAGAAATGTTGGTCAGTTTGTCCTGCATGACAGCAGTTGATACCTTGTGTACCACCTGAGGTTCAAACACCCCCCCCCCCAAAAACCACAGCTCTAGGGGATGTTGTGCCAGTAAACGTCTTGCTAACAGAGGCGGGGCCATGGGCTTCAGAGCAACAGCCCTGAGTGGCCAGGCCCCAGCCAAGCTGGACCTGGAGTGGAGGCCTGCTTGGGTAAGAGAGGTGGAGGCCTCTGCACAGGCTGACCTTACCTGGGTTGACAGGTGACACCGAGCAGTGCTTTTCAGGGGACTGGCACTGCTGTGCATTGCCTGTTAGCTTATTGTCGAATAATAGCTTTTTTTTTTTTTTTTTTAAGATTTCAGAGAGCAAGTGCATGCACACACACACACACACACACACACGAGCTTAGGGGCAGGGTGCAGAGAGAAGCAGACTCCCAGCTGAGTGGGGAGCCCGATCCCAGAACCTGGGATCATGACCTGAGCCGAAGGCAGACGCTTAACGACTGAGCCACCCAGGTGCCCCCCGCAAATAATAGCTTTTAAATTATTTTAAATCATCTTCAATTAAGGCTTTTTCTTTTTTAACCTTTGTTGTGGCCAGGAGCTGCACCAGAAGGTGAGTTGGTGGTGGTCTCTCCTAAATTATAAAGTGAAGAGATTTTTTTCAGATGGCTGAGGAGAAAAGTCTTCGGCTAACAGGTAAGTCATCCTGTGTTTTGAATTCCAGGCAGTACTGACTTGGGGATGTTACAGGATGAAAAGTGTTCTTGGATGGCACGAGAGGATAAGGGAACAGGACGGGGGAAGGTTTATTTTCACACATAGACATTCTGAAGTGTTCCCTGAGCTCTGTAGTTCCTTCCCTGGGGTAGGGTGGAACACAAGACCTGGAAAGGACCCACACAACAAGTCTTCCTTGAGCACAGATTCCCTGTGAGCCCTGTGTGTGGAGTTGGGCTGGCTGGAGATGTAGGCACTGAAAGAGGGGGGTCAGACGAGAGCAGAGCATAGAGGAGTGGCCCACCTGCTGGAGGAACCCTGGGACACTCGGGAAGACGAAGGAACATACATCAACTTTAATGCAGTAGAGAGCCAGCCAAGGGATGGAGTGGGGGAGCAGGAGCTGAAGGATAAAGCAGCTCCTCTCGGCACAGAAGCAGCTCCCATCGGGATGGGGGGCAAGCCCAGCCTCGGAACTGAGCACAGGTTATCCACGGATGGGGCAGAGGATTGCTGGATTTTGATCAAAACCTTGTCATTTAACATTTTTAAATGTGGGAGAGACAACTCCGCATAGTTGTAATAGTGTGGGTTCTGGGGCAAAAATTTTTGTCAAATCCTGGCTTCAATGTGTACTAGCCTTGCGACCCTGGGCAGGTTACGTCCTCATAAGGTCACTGTAAGTATGGAACGGATCTGTGGGACTTGCTCAGAGTAAACTTAGCACATGGTGTACACCTGGATGTTACCTCTTATTGTTACTTTGATAGGGAACATAAATGGCCATTTCACGACATTTAAGATATTTGTGAAAATGATCAGGAGTCTCACTCTACAAACTCAGGTGAGGAAGGTCTCTCATAAAATGATGGTCACCAGGGGCACCTGACTGGCTCAGTCCGTGGAGCGTGTGACTCGTGATCTCAGGGCTGTGAGCAAGAGCACCATGTTGGGTGTGGAGATTATTTAAAAATAAAATCTTTAAAAAAAAAAAAATCTGGTCACCAATACTCACTGAGGGCTGGGGCCAGGCGTGAGTGCAGCACCACGAGCTGTGAAGCAAAGTGTCGTCCCTGCTGGGATATTGCTGCTCTGGGAGGTTAGGTTGCTTTGTCTAAGCTTGCACAGCTATGAAATTATGGCACCAATTCAACCCCCACGGGCCTGATTCTAGAGACTGATGCCAGGGGATGTATTACTGCAGCAGGACGTGAGCTGGGTGTGGCTGCAGGGACTTCACTGAGAAAGGTCAGAGCTGGAAGTGGCCATTATCAGACCTGGGTCATCTACTGTGTGTCTCTGTACCAAAAAGGGTAGAGGCCCAGCAGTGCAGGCCTGATGATGCAGGGCTTTTGTTGGCAGGTTTAATGACCTTCTGTGTCTCTGGAGCTCAGAATTCTGGAGATTGTGCAGGAATAGCCAAGAAAGTTTTGAGAAAGGGCAAGGGTCATCAGATCAAAACAAAAGCATTCTACTTAGGACCTTGTGGTATTGAAACAGAAATAAGCAAATGAATCAACAGATAGATTAGGAAAGAGAATCCAGAAGTATGTCATTTGTAAGAATTTATGATCAAGATGGCATTTCAAAACAGGTAAAGACACTTTGGGGACATTGGCTCTCCACCTGAAAGGTTACACTATTTTATACCATCCCCAAATTAAATTATTTAGGGGCTAAAAGGAAACCCTTCCTAGAGTTTGGGATAAAACAAAACTTACAATGTTTCCAGAAATGATAAAATATGGACAGTCTGAACCTCCTGAAAAAATGGGGAGGGGAATGGGAATGACAGGGAAAGTGAAAGAACTTTGATGTTTTCTGTTTTAAATCATCTACAATGAGAACTGAGGGGACAGTGTGGCTTAGAAGACAAAATGGAAGATAGTGAGTAGTTGTGCCATTGCTTTTTGTCCCATCGACCACCAAGTATTGCTCTCCCCTTGTGTGATTGGGCTCTGAAAGCCAGCCCTCCCTCCAGGGCTTAGAGTCAGCCCCGGAGGACTGGCCCCCAGGCAGCCACCGCCCAGGGCCCACCGTCTATGCAGTGGTTGTTCGAGGGAAATGTTCACTCAGGGACAACTTCCCAGAGGTGGTGGGATTTGGGCCTCGCAACGTGGGGAGGATTTCAGTGGGTGGGAGGAGGGCTTCCAGGATGGAGAGGCTGAGGGTCCATATGCCCTTGTGCTCTGCCTCCACACTGAGCTGGGCTCCCACCCTGTCAGGGGAACAGTAGTGGAAGAAGTGACAGCAGGTCTGAGTCAGGTTTGGAGATTGGCCCATCGGATCTGAGTGAAGGTCACCGGGTTGAGAGGACGCTCACTGGGCTGGGAGCAGTTAAGTGATTGACCTGGAGGCCCTGCTTTTCTAGGTTTTCAGGCGTGGATGGGATGAGAGTCTGCCCAAGAGACGGATTTGGTTTTTGGCTAACATAGGATTAAACGCACCGTAACGGGCAGGGACAGGGCCACAGCTCTGTTCTGACCACACCTTGGGCAAAAAGTCCTCAGCACAGGCCCTTGGCTCTAACCCTGAGCTCACCAAGCTCCTCTCACCCCACACAGAAGCTTGGCACAGGAGAGGACAAGATGCAAATCATTCTGATCACAGCATTCTGGTTGCTCTGTGTTCTATAAACGAACAGAAGCCAGAAAGCAATTTGGAGCAATGCTTCGTGGAGAGAGACAGCTTGAGACCGGGAGGCGGCGGAAGGAGTGGGACAAAGGGCTCGGGTGGTCAGGATGGGAAGCCCCTGGGGTTTCCTGACAGGCTGGAGATGAAAGAGAAGAGCCAAAGAGGACTATGCCTCTGGCCCAACAGCTGGAAGCCCCTATGCCCTCCACTGTTGGAGGGAGGCTGCAGATGGGACAGAGCTCAGTTTGGGGGACGTTTGTGACAGGCATCCAAGAGGCAACGCTAAGCGGGCCGCCGGACATGATGAAGCTGTGGTTCAGGAGGGAGGTCTGAGCTAGGGATCCATAGATGAGTCCAGCTGGGCGGCTCTCAGGTAGCCCCCTGCTGGCTTTCCTGCTAAGGATCTTCCTTCTTCCCAAATTCCTGTACATTCCCCAGCCCTTAGCTGGGGGGCGGGGGCGGGGGCCAGAGGCTTCTTCCTAAGGAGAGACCAGGGACCCCTGGTTCCCCGTCTCAACCCCCTCGTGCTTCCCAGGGCCTGGCCTGCCCAGGCGGTTACTTGGAGACAGGGCTGGGAAAGGAACCTGAGCCCGCTGCCCCGCTCGCGTGCAGCGCAGCCTCGGTACAGGGAAAACCTGGTTGCTGTGGCTTTACGTCTCTCAAGACAGGGGGTCCGTTGCCCTGTGTTCACCAAGCCGAGGCAGACAGAGGAGGAAGTGGGGCAGGGGCGTGGAGAACACTGAGCGCAGCTGCTCCCCGGGCCTGCTCACACATGAAAACTTCCTGCGATGAGAACGGAAGCCAGGTGCTGTCCCCACCACGACAGCTCCCAGAGCTGGGGCCAGAGGGAAGCCATGGACAGGCCTCGGGCCCCGGTCCTGCTCTGGGCGCTGCTGACACTCTGCATCACTGCTGGTGAGTGGGCGGAGAGAAGCGGAAGACATGGGGGTCAGGTGGAGTCCCAGCCCTGGGGTGCTCCCATGTCTCTATCCCACAGGGACCCCTGAAGTGTGGGTGCAAGTTCAGATGGAGGCCACCAAGTCCCCGTCCTTCACTGTCCGCTGTGGATTCCTCGGATCTGGCTCTGTCTCCCTAGTGACCGTGAGCTCTGGGGGGCCTGATGGTGCCGGAGGGACTAGGCTGGCTGTTTTGCACCCAGAATTCGGCATCCAGCAGTGGCCCCCTGCCTGCCAGGCCGACTGGGAAACCAAAACCAGCATCTCCCTCACCGTGAAAGAAGGATCTGCAGGGAGAAGCCCCAGTCCCAACACCACCTTCTGCTGCAAGTTTGTTTCCTTTCCTGAGGGCTCCCAGGAGGCCTGTGGGAACCTCTTCCTCAGCGCAGACCAAGGTGGGGCTCAGGAGAGGGGGGCAGGGAGGGAGGAAGGGCACCAGCCACCCGTCTGGTACGCCTCTTTGTCTATACACAGGGCTCCCTGCCCCTACTCCAGCTCCCATACTGCGGGCTGACCTGGCCGGGATCTTTGGGGTGTCGGGGGTCCTCCTCTTTGGCTGTGTTTACCTCCTCCACCTCCTGCATCGGCAGAGGCACTGGTGAGACCCAACCCCTGTCGGGCCCAGTCTAAACCCCAGCACCGGTGGGCTAGCCACTTGCTTTGCTTCTAACCCGCCTCACTCTGCCAGGTCCGTCATGAAGGTCCAGCCCTGCCTCGCCAGTCCCCAGACACAGCCGCGAGCAAGGGTGAGGACTGGGGGATTGTTTGGGAGGGGGGAACAGAGGAGGCTGCAGCTGGGGGCGGGGCGGGTCCTGTGAGTAGAGCCTGACTTGGGCCTCCTTCCCCCTCATGCCTGCAGGGGGCTGCTCAAGCCTCCCTGGTCTCTCTGCAGGCCCCCTACACCACCGTCAATACCAGCTGCTACGGCCCGGCAACTCTGGACACGGTCCTCCCGCCCCGGCCACTGTCCCGCTGGGCGGCACTGCCCGCCCCCGCAGCCTGCCCGCCTCAGCCGCCCGCCCGCTGGGCACCCCTGCCAGCCTCCGCACGCGACAGTTTCATCTCCATGGAGAACGGACTTTATGCTCAGGCGGGAGAGAGGTCTTTCCAAGCCGGCCCCAACCTCGTCCCTTTCCCGGACTCTCTGGGGCACAGAGCCGTGGAGGGGCATTTAGGAGTTCGATGAGAGGGACCCCAAGTCCGCTTGGGCCTCCTCTCCTCTCAGACCTCTGGGACCCGCTTGTGGTGTCTGTGTCCTGGGGGCGCATAATCTTTGCACATCTTATTTTATTCCTAGGCCTGCATAAGTGTCTCCACACATACTTGGCCAAGGTCCCCTGGCTGCGGATGTGGTCAGCACGTGTGCACGTGTGGGCACACATGTGTCTACGTGAGGTGACAAAATCCCATCCCAGGTTGTTTCCTGTTTTCAAGTCCCCAGTCCTCACAGGTGATGTTGATAAAAAAAAAAAAGAAAAAAAAATGGTTTCTGACTGGGGCCTTGGCTGGACCTTTTCTTCCTTAAGGGTTAAGAAGTTAGAGGCAGTTTCAACCCCTGGGAGGCAGGGGCCAGGTTGGACTTCGATGGGGATAGGCCTCAGCCTGGGAGGTCTCCCACCTGCCCCCCCCACCCCCCCGGAGAGTCCTGGCCCTGTAGACCTTGCTGAGACACCAGGGGCTGGGAAGACAAGACTGGGGCGGGGGCTGATGGCAGGATGATCCATCCTCAATTCTTGCCACATCGTAGGACAGCAGCCAGGGCTCCTGGGTCTTCAACCCGAGAAAAGCATCCTTGGGGCATCCATGTCAGGCTCTCTGAGGTGGTCTGCGGAGGGGTCCTGCTGCCTGCCTTCCACCGACTCACCTCAAGTCAGCCCACAGTAGCCGCCTCCGGCTCCTCTCATTGCTGGGGCACCCGCACTATTCCCCACTGGTTGCTCGCGGGGTAGGTAGAGGCCCGGCCAGCAGAGGGACCAAACACACACTCCCCTACCCACTAATCTTCCCCTCCCGGAGCCAGCCCTCCGGTAAACAGGGCGAGCAGCCTGGGCCTCATCGAACCTTTGCCACAGGAGAACGTGGTGAGAGCTGTGATAGCTGCAAGGCTCCATAGAACATGGCAGATTCTGGGGGGCAGGGGGCAGAACGGTCCTGGAGTCAGGCTCAGACCGCACCTCCAACCAGGGTGAATACCAGCATGGGGGAGGGGACACCAGCCACTCCATCCCTTCCTTGGTTCTGCTTGTGGGAAGTCCCAGGCAGAGCCACCTGCCAAGCCAGGAACCAGCCCCTCTGCCCGGCTGAGGGAGGGCCTGCCCAGAGCCGTGTCCAACCCCAGAACCTTTCAGAAACCCAGTTTGCTGTTCTAGGCATGCCTAATGGGGCCTTCCCAAGACCCAGCACCGCCCAGCCGCTAGCTCTGCAGCACTGGGGAGAGGGTGGGCCGGGCAGAGTGAGGGAGTGGTTAAGGGCCTGTCTTCCTCAGCCAGTGATCCTCCTCCTCGTCTCAGAAGCCCTCAGCACTGACCTGATCAGCTCAATGGTCCCTGCAGGGCTGAGGGCTCAAGAGAGGGCGGGGGGGGGGGGGGGGGTGCGGAGGTCCCTGGGGAGGGTCAGGGAGACGTGAGAGAGGGAGTAGATCAGGGCCCAGCTGCCTTAGGACCATGTCAGGGACAGGCGTGGGGGGGGCAATGGGGCTTGCAGGGTCTCAGGGGAGGCCTTGGGGGGCTCCCCCAGGAACCCTTGCTTCTCTAGAAAGGGAATGTTTGTCAGACAAAGGAGGGAGCTCTGAGGGATCCCTGGCCTGAACCTGGCTCCACCCCTGAGCCACTTGCCCATCTTGGAGTCCGGGAGGGCCCCCCAGACTCGAGCCTGTCTTCGAGTCAGGCTGGCCAGCCCCGCATCCCGGAACCAGCAGCAGCACTGAAGGGCCCGGCTGGGCGAGCGGAGTTGTGGCTCCGAAGCCACAACCTTGGAGATCATGCTCTGCTCTTTGTTCATTCCACACATGCGGCAATTGAGGCCCGAGTGAGAGGGGACTTGCCCAAGGGGACAGAACTGAACCAGCCCCCTTACCCCACCAGGCATCCAGGACATGCCCTCTGCCTTGACCGGAGCTAAGGCTTGGGCTTTGGACTCCCCCTGAGTTTGAACTCCAGGGGTCACTCCCCGGCCGTGAGACCCCCAGCAGCTTCACTCCTCCGAGGCTCGCTTTGCTCATCGCGTGCATAAGGAGGCTCATAAGGCCGAGGCGAGTGTGAAGATTGTAAACCAGGACGAAGCAACTTTGCACGGACTGTCTTGCTTAGGACTTAACCTCAAGGGGTAGGTAATTTCAGGAAGTTCATTTAACAGATGTGCTGCCCGAGCCCGGGGTCACTGAGCTGGAGGGCAGAGGTGCTTTCAGCAGGGAACAAAGGAGACACAGTGCCAGCAGCCCAGTCTGGACACGTCCGTGGGTCTGCTCGGCTACGGCGGCGGTGGGGACCCTGGGGAGCCAGAGCTGGGCCTAGGCCCCAGGCGGGAGGCTGGGCGTGCGGGGACCACCATGTGGCGCCGCTGACACCCACCATGGGGCCGACCGTGCAGTGGCCTGCGAGTGCTTTCCGGAGGTCCCTCTGCAGAGGACGCCAGACCCTCCATAGAGAAGAGCATCTTTGGAGGCACCGCAGGGGTCTCAGGGAAAGGACAGAGCGACCCCCACCCCTCCATAACAGGTCCCTCAGCCCTGCCCTCGCCCACCGCACCTGGCCCAACGGACCACCCAAGACACGAGCTCGCTCCTCCCCAAATGGCCCTCAGGACACCCCCACCCCATGGCTACCTCCACCCACAGTCAGTTGCTCCTTCTTGCCTCCGCCCCACCCCAAAGTGGTGTGGTGACCTCAGGAAATATGGTAACAATTTTCGGTCAACATATGGCCCATCGATTTACATCTGAAGGGTTGAGGTTTTACTTGACAGTAGAGAATAACCTTAACAACAGCTAGCCCTTCACGGTCCTGGAAACCTTGCTCCCAAATTCCTTAGAGACCTAAGCCATCTCCAACCCCCACGAAGTAAGAAGTGTGTAATCAGTCACTCCTCACAATCACCAGTGCACCTCTTTCTGCCCACAGGTCCTGTCCCTGGGCTATAATAAAAACTTTTTTGCACCAAAAAAGTCTCAGCCCCACATCACTAATACCCCTCCCCTCTGTGTGGCCCACTGCCCGTACAGACCGTCCCGCCTCTCTCGGCTCTGGACCCTCAGTGGCCACCTCTCCATACTGACCCCTAGCCTGAGGGGTGGGGGGGGGGTGGTCAAAGTGCTTGGCAGTTGCTTCCCTTCTAGGGACCGGTGGGAAGAGTCAAGCACCAGGAGTCCTGGGACCTGGACTCCACGGCCTCCTGCTGGGTGTGTGACTTCTGCCCCTGCAGGCCAGGAAGACTTGAACCCTTGCTGGGTTCACTGCAGGGCGCTGGAGGACATGGCCTCGCCCCCAGCCAAGCCGGGGTGTCCGTCCTGCTCACGCTGACCTCTACAGTACACGGTGGGGGTCTGGGACCTTGGAAGAAGAAATAGGGCCGAGGCGTGTCCGAGGGCTCAGCCAGTGGGACACAGGTCGAAGGCCCTGGCCTGTTCTCTGGGCCTCTCCCAGGCGCTATGGGGGAGTAGCTACTCAACAAGAACCCCCAGGCTGTGATCCCACTCCAACACAGGGACACACAAGGGCACAGGATACTAGGTGTGCTGGCCCAGCCAAGGGCAGGGGGAGGCTCTCCAACCTGCCCAAGGGTTCTGGGCAAACCCTGCTGAGGGGGACCTCCACACAGGGCCCTCAAACAGTGTCATTGCAACATCTGTGAAATGAATCAGAAATCTGGGCTGTTTGGAGAAACAGTAAACAGACATTACAAATGTTAAAAGAAAAAAATTAAAGTGGTTTTTTTCACTTTCACAAGTGAGAAGGAATGACGGGGCCTTTCTGAGTCAATGACACCTACAATAGAACCTGAAGCTGAGTGGGAGCTGTTCAGGCAACGACTGTGGAGAGACTACGCCAGGCAGGGAAAGACGTGTCCAAGAGCCCTGGTCTTAAAAGGAGCTTGGCCCTGCAGGGGCCCCGAACAGGTCCTTGCGTTCGAAACAAGGCGAGGGAGGGAGTACGCAAAGCCCCTGGAAGGGATGTGGATTTTATAAGGGCAGAGATCACCTCTGGTGGGTTTTTTGTTTTCGTTTTAAGATTTTATTTATTTGACAGAAACAAAGGGAAAGCAAGAACACAAGCAGGGGGAGTGGGAGAGTAAGAAGCAGGCTTCCCGCCGAGCAGGGAGCCCGATGTGGGGCTCGATACCAGGACCCTGGGATCATGACCTGAGCCAAAGGCAAACACTTAACGACAGAGGCGCCCACCTCTGGTGGGTTATAAGCGGAGTGCGGCAAAATGATCAGATGGACATTATAAAGGGAGCACTCTGGGGAGGGGAAGAGAGCACTTGTGTGGGAGGAAGAGTAGAAGTAAGAAGAATTGGGGAGCTACTGCAATGGTCCAGGTGGCAGATGAGGTGTCCGGGGCAAGGACAGTGGAATGTAGATGGAAAGAAGCAGAGGATTCAAAATGTGTTTTGGAGGCAGAATTGTGCCTGGCTGTGGGAAGAGGGGATGACGATGGTCTCAAGGGTTACACCCAGTTTTCTAGTGTGAGCCACTAGGTAGGAGAAGTGCCATTTACTTCAATGGAAGATTGAAAGGAGCATCTTCCAGGGAAGGGGTGACAAGGGGCCGAGAAAAGACAGCTTAGGTTGAGATGGCTGACACACAAATGAGGTACATACAGCCTATCGATGTCTCCTCAGAGCTCAGGCAGAGTCTCAGGAAGGGGCCAGAACTGTATGCAAAATCTTGATGAGAAAAAGCAAAGTCCCAAATAAACGGAGACATATCCATGTTTATAAATCAAAAGGCTCCTTGTTAAAAGGTCTAGTCTCCCCAAATGATCTACAGAATCAGAACTTTAATAGAAATTCCAGCAGGCTCCTCTGTAGACACTGACCAGCTGATTTTAAATTTTATGTGGAAAAACAAAATTACCTAGAAAAGCCAAAAACAATTTTGAAAAAGAACAAAGTTGGAGGATTCATGCTATTGGATTCAAACTTATGTAAAGCTAAAGAAATCAAGACAGTGAGGTAGAGAAAGAATAAGCAGAGCAATGCAACAGAATAGAGTCCAGAAATAGACATCTACCTACCTACCTACCTACCTTTGTAGTCAACTGGGTTTTAACAAAGGTGCCAAGGTAATTCAACAAGGGAAGAAGAGTCTTTTTAACAACTGGTGCTGAAACAATTGGATATTCATTTGCAAAAAAATAAAAATGAACCTCGACCCATACTTTCCATTACATGTTCTAAAAACTTAAACTAGATTGTAGACCTAATGTTAAACCTAAGACTATAAAACTTCCAGAAGAAAAAACAGGGGAAAACCTTTGGGACTATAAGTTAGGCAAAAATCTCTAAGATTCAACACCAAAGCCATGATCCATAAAAGAAAACATTGATAAACCAACTTCATCAGAATTAACTTCTGGGGCACCTGGGTGGCTCAGTCATTAAGCATCTGCCTTTGGCTCAGGTCATGATCCCAGGGTCCTGGGATCGAGCCTCACATTGGGCTCCCTGCTCCACGGGAAGCCTGCTTCTCCCTCTCCCACTCCCTCTGCTTGTGTTCCCTCTCTCGCTGTCTCT